TTTGTATTCTTTTTGGTGCTTAAGTCTTCAAAATCTGGTATGTATTTACACTTACAGAACATCTCAATTCAGACTATATTTCAAGTGCTCAACGGACACATATAGCTAGTGGCTACTTTATTGGATAGCACAGTTATATTTTTTTCTCTTTAGTCCATTTCCTGATGCCTAAGTGCCTTTCTATTTTCTGAGTAGTTTCAATTTTTAGAGGAGATACAGTTGTGTTTTTTTTTTTTCAATGAAGTGTCTTATATAATGTGCTGTTCTGAGATCTCAGCTTTATCATATAACAGCTATTCTTACAATAGGGAAAAATCTGAATATTCAAAGTAGATTTCTGTTTATCTTTTTTTCCAGTTAAAGTGTTTTACCCTTGACATAGACTCATGTGTATCAGAAAACATACTACCTAATCCCATACTTGGCTTTGTTTTTATTTATAACAAAATAATCATGCCTTGCCTCTTCTGCTTTCTCCTTTGCTCTCCTTTTCTCATTTCTCTCTTCTTTTTCCTTCAGCGCCCACCCTTTTTAAAGATAATTGAATAAAGATAAGGGGTTTCTAAATAAAGTTGCAGAAAACATTTTGTTGGCATCCCTTTACTATAATTTCCAATGTCAATTTGCTCATAACCCATTACTGCCATTCCTCACCTGGCTGTACTAAATCATTGGAGATTAATGGAATATTTTTAGCTTCTAATATAAAAATGCAACATGATATCCCTTACCGTTTATTTTTTTCCAATAATTTACAAAACATGTTTCCAAACCTGTAATATTGAATATATTTCCCTAATCATAGAACATTAAGAAGGTAACTGCATTATAAAAATGGCGATTTAACAATCGAATAGTAGACAGTGTTATAAGAATATTTTGCTTTGAGATGAAAGCCATATATTTATAAGCAATATATGGCTACATGTTAAATCCTCAGGCCATATTTCTCATGGGTCTGGGCTGGGTCAAATGTCAATAAAATGCTTGAGTTCTCTTAAAAGATGGTAGGTTATTAAATTGAATATGTTTATTGTTTTAGTTCTTTCAGTAAAGATAAACTTATCAGTTGGATTATAAATCTGTATTTCTGCAAAAAAATCAGTTTCCTCAAATGGAGCTGGACTATTTCTGCTCCTATGTTGTAATTACAGGGACAGTAACCACAAATGTCTCGCTGACTAGTGGGTAGAGCAGCTCATATTGAGTTTACCCTGGGTTCATTGGCTTCTACATAAGACTTTTTCTTTCTTTTTAATCTGACACAGATTTAGAATCATTTACTGGCATTCTCCAGCATGTCTGGTTAAATGAGATATTCCACACAGTTGTAAATTTGTCAAAACATTTTCTGAACATTGGTAACAATTCTTGCTGGTATTGTGTAGTGTTGTTACATTTCACATACTAAAATCAGAAAAATAAATTGTAATATTTATGTTTGTAGGTGTGTATATGTTTTTTGTTTTCCACCTAGCTTCAGAAACTAATTAGATGGGTGAATTGCCAAACTAATCTTTGAGAATTTGTTTCTTAAAATAAAGCCACAGAAGAATTTTCAACAGATTACCTCTTTCTGTATGATTAGTTTTAAGGAAATGCAATGCCAAATTTGGATATGAATTGGAATGTAAGGAAGAACTGAAAAAATATATTTTTGAGCATAGTTTACCAATATGAAGTGATTCCTGTGAATTTCATTTACCAGGCCATTTAACATAGATACATGCAATGAAATTTGTTAAATGGGAGACTAGCAGCAAATCAGAGGATCTCATTCCATATATGTTGCTCATCTTCAGAACTCAAAGTTAATTGACATATTAACTTTGAGTTCTGAAGTTCATTCTTAGTTTTATTAGGTACAAGGCAATGTGTTGAATGAAAACTATGAGCTTTGAATCATGACCATAATAAAATTATAACTATATTACAATGAATGCTTATAAATCTGAGGAAAATATTAATTTCTCAATGAGTTTGAATTAAATGTAAATTTGATGTTTACTATTTAAACATATTAAACCTACATTTTTATTGTTAAAATAACATTTAATGAATTAATAAATCCTCTGAATATGTAAATACTGACATCATGAACACGGTGTAAAAAAAAGGTAGTTGTAATCATATTTAAGATGTATGCAAACAACCTACCCTTTGTTACCTTGTTGTATAAACCTTAAAATATAGCTGATATTCTACTGGTCAATAGACTATTCTTTGGTAATATGAAGCTTATTTCTTCATTATTTTCTGATGGCCCATATCATCTCCATAGGTTTTTAAGATAATTTTCCTGCACTTTCCCTTTTTATAAATAGTTCTGTTTTGTATCAGAACAGAGTAAAAGTTTGGTTTACCTCTCAGTGAGGGAACTTCAGGTCTTGTACCTGAAAACAGATCAGAAGTAGTTCTACAGAATAAAATCAATAATTCAGAGACTGTAGTGTTTCACTTTTCATTAAACAGAAAGGCCAGAAGGATGCTAAAGAGGGGATATGTTCATGTTCAATTAAACCAATCTTTATGCAGTTTATAATCCAGCCAACATATTCCTTTGTCTCTGCCCATACATCCCTCTCCTTCCAGATCATTTGCTCAAATGCCTTCCTAGACACAACCCTTTGCTTCATCATAATTAAATACTCCTTTGCTTCACTGTTATTTATGATGTCCCTTTTGCCTTTGTTTATTAATAATTATCTAGCATTCATATAAATGTATTTGATCAATATAGAGAGAAATATATTATTTATAGGAAATATACTCACCATTACATTAGTACTAATTGATCAAAACTGATGTGTGCATATGGAAGTAACATTCATCAGGTATTGGTTAGGTGGGGGTAGGGGGGATAGGTAAACTTATACCTAAATGTTGCAGTGTGCGCTGTCTGGGACTGGGCACCCTTATAGCTTTGACTCTGGCAGTGCAAAGGTAATTTATGTAACCAGAGCATTTATACCTCCATAATATTTTTTTAAAAAATTTAAAGATCAATTCAAATATATAATTTTCAAATTTATCTTATCACTTAATTTTGGTCATTGTTCTGTAACTCAAGAGTTGCAAATAAATTAAAAAACCAGTAAAGTTTAGAGTTGCAAATAAATTAAAAAAACAGTAAAGTTTAGATATTTTTTGTTTTGTGAGACAGAGTCTCACTCTGTTGCCTGGTCTAGAGTGCCATGGCGTCAGCCTAGCTCACAGCAACCTCAAACTCCCGGGCTCAAGTGATCCTCCAGCCTCAGCCTCCCGAGTAGCTGGGGCTACAAGCATGCACCACCATGCCTCCCCAATTTTTTCTATATATTTTTAGTTGGCCAATTAAATTCTAGTTTTTCATAGAGACAGGGTCTCGCTCTTGCTCTGGCTTGTTTCAAACTCCTGACCTTGAGCAATCCTCCCGCCTTGGCCTCCCAGAGTGCTAGGATTACAGGCGTGAGCCACCTCCAACGCCCAACAGTAAAGTTTAAAGTATCAGAGATCTCTCACTAAGAAATCAGAAGTGCTCAGATTAAATAAAATCTCTTAAAATAAATTTGCATGTGAGTTCATAAATACAGTATAAACATATTGAACAAAATTCCCCATTTCTAACATTTCAGTATCCATTTTTAACACACTGTCTAAAATTATCTTAACCATCTGAATACCCCATTAAATATCATGTAAAATACTTTCCCATATTCTTCTCATTTAGTATATAAGGAAATGGCATTCAGAAGTGACATTCATATCCTAGCTATTCCAATGAGAGTTAAATAATGTCATTTGATATAGTGGTGTAAACTAGGATTTTGCATTATGATTTTATCTATTTAGGAAAATTATCAGTTATTTTCTCTTCAAATATGGCTTCTGCCACATTCTTTCTTGGACACATTTATGTTCGATCATTTTATGGTATTTTCTATCCTTTTGTATCTCTGTTTCATTCCAAATATTTACTCCTGAATTATCTTAAGGCTTAATAATTCTCTAGAGTCATCAAACTTGCTGTTAAACACATCCGCTTAGTTCCTTAGTTCTTATTTTGACTTATCACATTTTCAGTTATAGAATTTCTTTTTGATTAAATCTGTTATGTCATGTTAGGGTTTCCAGTTCTCTTCAAATTTCTCAATCTTGTGTTTAATCTGAGCAACATGTATACATATATGTATAAAGTCACTGTGTGTATATATACTTTCCCTAATATATACATTATATGTAAATATTATATATATAAGGCCATATATTGTAGATGTCAAAAACAACTAGGCAAAGTACACATTTGGTAGTGGTTTTGACTGAAACAAAATGGGCCTGGTTTGAACCCCTGCCTCTAACACTATAATATAATAGCTGCTTGACTATGAGCAAATTAGTGGGCTTTTTTTTATAGCCTTAGTTTTCTCAATTGCAAATGTGGTTAACAATGCATATCTTACAAGTTTATTATAAGAATTAATAATAATAATCTATGTGGGGTTTTTATTAGAGTTCCTGATACATAGTAAACACATATAAATTGGGTTTATTTTAGCAAAATTAGAGGTGACATGATATAATTTAAAATATCAAGGGCTTTGAATGATGATAATGTTTTCTCCAGAGGCAAATGATAACACAGAAAGAAAGTGGCCATCAATATCAGATATACTTGGCCTCTTCTCACTCTCTCCGAACACCATCTGTTTGACCTTGGACAAATTACTCAGCCTCTCTGCTTCTCCATTTCCTGACCTTAAAGAAATGAATTGAATGATACAGACTTTGCAGGCTGATTTGAGAATTCAGTGTAATATATGTATGGTCCCCTGACATACCAGATATGTAGCAGGAATTTATTTTTATCATCATATTCACATTCTAATCTATTTCAGTTTTTTTAATTGTGTTAATATTTGAATTTAGTATTATGATTAATTTTGCTACCAACTTAAGAAAACACAATGACAAATTTATAAAATGGTCAAATAATTCTCACTCTTTTTTCCCTTTTGTTAAAGTTTTTGATGCGTTGCCACCCATGCGCTATCAGGAGACAATGAGTACTATCCGGACGTGGATCCAGCAGTCAGAAACCAAACTTTCTAGACCTCAGCTTAGTGTCACTGACTATGAAATCATGGAGCAGAGACTTGGCGAGTTACAGGTCTGTGAATATTTGAATGTCAAAACAATACAGCATGTATGTCATTTATCATTTATCAACCATCAATATGATTATATTGATGTAACCTTAAAATAATATTAGAAGTAAAATAGCTGTGACAAGGATGATAGCTTGTCAGTTGAACAAATGTAAATGAGACTTTAAATATGTAATTTATATACTTTCACCTACTCTTCCCCTGCATATATATAAAAATGCTGTTTTTGAAAACAATTATATAATATATTTATGAATTATATGTTTAGTTTAGTATGCATTATCAGACATATTGACTTTTATTATTAGAAAAGCTGTAATATTATTTTCCACCTTTGATTCCTTATTCATAACCCCTCTCACATTCTCAAACAGATGATTGAAATCAGTACACAGTCCTCACTTGGTATCCATGGGGGATCGGTTCCCAGACCTCTCCCAGATACCCAAATCCACGAATGCTCAAGCAAGCACCTGATACTAATGGTGCAGTATTTGCATGTAACCTATGCACATACTCCCATATGCCTTAAATCATTTCTAGATTACTTATAATGTCTAATAGAATGTAAATGCTATATAAATCATTGTTATGTTGTATTGTTTAGAGAATAATGACAAGAAAAAAATCTGTACATGTTCAGTACAGACATAGTTATTTTTTAGAATATTTTCAATCAGCGGTCTTTTGAATGCACTGATGCAGAATTCACAAATATGAAGAGCTGCTGTATTTATAAAATTAGCTTGAATTTAAACACTAATGGCATATAATATTATAGTAAAATATTTGAGCTCTAATAACTATGATTTTTAGCAACCTTATGTCAACAAAGATAAAATGCCAATATGGGAAATTAAAGAGATAATTTGTAGGAGATTTTAGAATATTTTCCTATTAATTCTCATATATATATATATATATAAAACATATATCCAATAACATTTTTTGATATATAAGATCATATTCTTTAATTATATTTAGGAGCTGAGATAATATGTCCATATTTTGAAGATTAGGGGAAAAAAGTTTTAAGAACTTAAATTTTAAGTTATATGAAAAGTCCTTTTTGAGAGTTAAATATTATTTTCTTATAAAAATGATTTTTTCAAATATATATTTATTTAAGCATTATTCCATGCATTGTCATATTTAGACTATTTCTTCTATTATAACACCAAAGAAACCATAGTTGTTTAATCTTTTTGTTGCTATTTTTAGTACTTGACATAATGATTACGAAGTTTACTGGGGAACAATAGTTGTACTAACAGAACTAATAAACTTTGAAAAAAGTAAAACTACAAATGTGGTATAATAAGAGGAATGGATAAAAGACAGAAGAAATGGTGAATAGATGGATTGAAGAGATTATTTCCACTCAAAAAAAGTGAGGAAGGGAAAATTATTTATAAATATTATTGGGAAAATGTATTAACTAACAGAAAAAATGAAGTTAGAACCTTGCCATACAGATTCACCAAAATAAAAACCACATACCGTAAAAAGTTCAAAAAATTTTAATAAGCATAAATAAAAAATTTAAATGAAAATCTTTTAAAACTTATAATGGAAAAGCATAAAAATCAATAGAAGCAATCACAAACATTGTAAAAACAGCAGAGACAATTTTAAAGAAATATGAGACCCAGGAAAAATGTTTTTTCTATCAGTAAGTGAGGCAGTCTTAATAAGGAAATCACCAATAGGAGACATAAATTTCCAATAAGCCTATGAAAAATTATAACTCAAATAGTAAAAGATGAAGTACAAAATTTACAAAATGAGACACCATTTTTCACAGACTAAATCGTGCACACACACACAAAAGATATAAGGGCAGGTCTGGAAGGGATGAGGTGATGAGCTAAACATTCACACTTACTGATAGGAATATATATTGAATGTAAATTTTACTGAAGAAAACTTTTCAGTACTTCCTAATAACATAAAAGTTCATTCATTTGGATGCATGAATATACTTTCTATGATCTCTATATCTTATAGAAATAATCACAATATACTGAAAGTTATGGGTATATAGCTAGGTGATAGATATAGATAAACAGGAGTAGAAAAATAGAACCTAATGAAAAATGATTAAATGAACTAGAGAAGCCATTACAATTTTTGTTTTTGAAAAATACCCAATGACTTGGAAAAATGCTTACAATAAAATGCCTAGCTCAAAATATAAATAAATGCTAGATATTGACTGAATAATCCATCATAGGGGAACAATTTAATAAATAAGTAAATAAATAAAATTTTATTTTAATAAATAAATACAAAGTAAAAATATTAAATTAAGTACCACAAAATATGCATAGGATACTATGTAACCATGAAAGTTATATGTTTAATAATTTTTTGGATGATATATGTCACATTATGGCAGAAGGAATAATTGTGTGTACATGATATGATAAGCTAGCCAACATTTAGTCATGTGTAGAAAAATCTGAAAGTTTATATAAAGTCAATAGTTGTAAGCAGGTATTTTTTTTTTCATTTTTGTCATGAACTTTTATTACTTTATAACCAGAAAGTAACATTTAAGTAAATATTGAGTAGAGGAAGCCTAAAGATAGGCATCCTACTAGAGGATTGCATAGGTTAACCGGGATAAATGTAAAATAAACTTTATAAATTCTTCCCACAATTACCCTATAATTTAATTATAGTACTCCAAAACAAAATAATGTCTTTTGAGAAATATAAAATTTTATTTTACTGGCATTAGTAAGCCATCAATCTGGTAACTTATTTAATAACTTTTGTTATCCCATATATCAATATAATTATAGTTTTATGTAGGGAATCTAATAGTTGTCTTACTAAAGGTTGACTATAGTTAATTTAAATTCTATTAACTGTATCATAATTGCAGTATTTATATATATTTAATTAAGTAAAATTAGGTATGCTAAAACCCTTTGGCTCAATAAGATATAGTTTTGGATATATTTGGCATTGTTTATAAAAATAAGCATGGATTGTTAAATAAAATATCACTAAATATTTTGCCAGTTACCCTTATAATAAAATGTAGAATTTAAGTGACCAATAGTTTATATAAGTGATATTATTAAATCATGTACTTTGTTTAGATGATTGAATCACACAGATTTTACTTTAATACACTTAACTGAAACTCATCAATTATTTATCCATTAGCATAAATATACCTTTTTTTTAAATTTTGAGGCTTTACAAAGTTCTCTGCAAGAACAAGAAAGTGGCCTAAACTATCTCAGCACCACTGTGAAAGAGATGTCAAAGAAAGCTCCCTCTGAATTTAGCCAGAAATACCATTCAGAATTTGAAGAGATTGAGGGACGCTGGAAGAAGCTCTCCTCCCAGCTGGCTGAACGCAGTCAAAAGCTAGAGGAGCAAATGAATAAACTTCGAAAAATTCAGGTAATTCAAGATTTTACCTTTTATTATTCATTTTTATTTACTTGGTTTTCCCCTAACAGTGCATTGTAAACTTAAAGGTATAAAGACATTTGACCTCCAGAGTCCTTCAAAGTTAGTAATAAGATCAAAAGACACAAGTCTTTCACAAAGGAGTGTGGTTTGCCTATTTCTTCTAAGAAAAGAGTAATTAAGAGTTTTACTTTTTAGATATTTTTTAGAATCAATTTGTTATTTTCACCAATACCAATAGGATATAAACATGTTTTTATCTTAATTTTCAAAACCAATCATTCCTTTAGTCTAGTTGTCTTTTAGCTATAGGTATCATTTATCATTTAAAACATTTAATATAATATAAGTAATATAATTTTTATTACCATATTTCACTTACAATTATATACTTAAATCTTACCCCATCATCTTCCACAAAGCAACTGCTACTGACTTCATTTGTTTGAATAGTTCTACCATACTACTAATCACCCAAGCTAAAAACAATAAACTGGCCAGGTATGGTGGCTCACGCCTATAATCCTAGCACTTTGGGAGGTTGAAGCAGAAGGATTGCTTGAGGCCAGTTGTCCAAGAACAGCCTGAGCAAGACAGAAACCCAGTCTCTCCAAAAAATAGAAAAATTAACCTGCATAGTGGGTTCACCTATAGTCCCAGCTACTCGGGAGGCTGAGGCAGGAGGATTGCTTAAGGTCAGGAGTTTGAGGTTGCTGTAAGCTAGGCTGTTGCCACGGCACTGTACCCCAGGCAACAGAGTGAGACTTTATAAAAAAAAAAAAATGTAAACCAACAATTACATTTTAGTCTAAAATATTTAGTGATGTAATTAATGTGTCCCTTAGGTGGTCAATTATTTTGAAAAATATTAATGCTGGAAAAGAAACTTTGAAAACATCATGGTATGATAAAAAGCACTAGAACATGATGGTTCTGTATTTAAACCTCAGTTCAGCTACTTAGTTTTTTGTTCTTTTACAAACCAAAACACTAAGCAATCCTAAAACATTCTTTAAAGCACAACATATATATATATATATATATATATGTATACATATATACACATATGGATGTGTGTGTGTGTGTATATATATATATATGTCTCTACTTGTAAATGTACATTTACATGCATATGTACATCAATACTATATAAAAACACATAAAATTTGCCTGGACCAATGGCCAAAGAGGGTATATACATGGTCCTTGCCATCAATCAGCCCATGTTCTAGTGAAGAAGAAAGATAAGATATATTTGTTTCATATTGTTGCTATAACAAATCATTTATTTGTTATACAAAGGTAATGACTTGAAACAACACGAATTTATTATCTTACAGTTCTGGAGGTCAGAAGTACAAAATCAGTGTCAATGGGCTAAAATGAATGTGTCAGCAGAGCTGTGTCCCTCTCAGAGGCTATAGGAGAAAATGTTTTCTTGCCAGTTTTAGCTTCTGAAAGCATTCCTTAGCTCATGTTCCCATTCTACATCAACAAAGTCAGCAATGTGTAAAACCCTCCAGTGTCAATCTCTCCCTCCCCATCTACTTCCCCTTCCCCCTCCCCATCTTCTTCTTCCTCTTACCCCACTTCTTCCTTTCTCCCTCCTCTTTCCTCCTCTTCCCTCCCTCCCCCTTTCCCTGTCCTACCTCCCTCTTAATAAGGACCCTTGTGATTACATTATGTCCAACCAGCTGATCCAGGATAATCTCCCCATACCCAAATTCTTCATCACATCTGCAAAGTCCTTTTTGTCATATTAGGTAACATATTCATAGGTTCCAGGGATTAGGGTGTAAATATCTTGTGGGAATCATTATTCAGCTTAGCACAGTAAGTAAATTAAAGAGTATGGTAAAAGTTATCACAGTACATAGGAAAAGTCCTCAACATAAACTAGGAAATAGAATTATGAAATATTCTTGGAACAACATACAATGAACAGTTAGAATTTAGACAGATAATAATGAAGAAGAAAGAGTTTCTGGCAAGGTGGAATGCTATGTTCAATTAAATGAAGAAGTTCAACTTTGGAGAGACAACATATATGTTTGGGAATTAATGAAATATATAGTTGGAAAAATGATTTGAGAGTAGATCATGAATGGTCTTAGATGCCACATTTTGGAATATGAATTTAACCTAATGGTGATGGGGTAAATAACAACAACAATAATAATAATGCCGCTACTAGTATTTTAAAGAGGGAAATATATGATTACATTTGTGTTTTCAAAATATCACCATGTAAAGTGGAAGGAGGAGAGGAGAAGAAGTTTGTTGGCATGAATGTGGAGAAATTATTGGAATGCATTAACACTGAGGCAGATATGCAAAAGAGCAAATACAGTAATGAAGGAGTCAATAATAAGACCTGAACGAGGCCAATGAAGATGTGGCAGAAGAGCAAAAGTAGACATGAAAGATGTCAGCAAGGTGATAATGTTGAATTCTCAGATTAAGTCAAATGCTTTTAAATTATTATTAATCATTGGAAAGAGGAAACTTTCTGCAAAGCACATATTTTCAATAGAAATTTAATTAAGCAGGAAGAATATAGCACATCTGGACAGCATAGTTGAATCATATTGAAATAAAGAAGTGACAATCATACACTTAAAAAGTAGTAAAAAAACAAAGAAGCAGAAACAAAAAATATGGGAATGAATCATTGGAGGTACTTGGCTATTTATCAATGATAAAAGATGACATTTTTCACCTGATAATTACTTTAAACTGATCAGGCAAATAAGATATTAAAAGCAAAAGCTGTCTCTGTAAAGATGACAAAATTTTGACATGAACTTTCCCAACTGGAGAGACTATTTAAACTGTCAACTGTAGAAAACAATTTGCGGAAGTTCAGGTTTAGGGAGGCTATAAAGACACCATTACATTGAGTTTATTGTTCATAGTTTGTTTTATGTACTGTAAGGGCACATTGTTAGTATTATCATGAGTTGTTTTGTAACTTAAAATTTCTCTAGAGGGGGATATGATTTAATGTTCTCGAGAGTAACATCATAAAACCACATTTGGTAGTAATTTTTTATTTTTAACAATAGCAGACTTCATACACCAGTGCTCATACAGTAGACTATAAAAATTCAGTCCTAGTAAAAATACTTTTCCTGAAGAGCTACTTAGAGACATCCTTCAAACATGGGAATTGTTTTTGGGCTTGTGTTTAGAATTATCACTATGATGAATTGTGTTAGGACCAATCAGCACCCTCAAGTAGGCCTTAAAATGGGTCTCTTATTTCAGAATCACATAAAAACCTTGAGGAAATGGATGGCTGAAGTTGATGTTTTTCTGAAGGAAGAATGGCCTGCCCTTGGGGATTCAGAAATTCTAAAAAAACAGTTGAAACAGTGCAGGGTAAGATTTTTATATGATGCCTTTCATATGAAGACTTTTATATGGATAATATGGTTTGGTTAGATCAGTGGTTTACAACCAGTGGTGATTTTGTCCTTCCCCTTCCCAGGGGACATTTTGCAATGTCTGGAGACCATTTTGGTTGTCACAACTTAGAGGGAGAGGATAGATACTACTAGTGTCTAGTGGTAGAGTGCAGGGATGCTGCTAAATATCCTAGAGCATGCAGAATTGCCCTCCACAACAAAGAATTATATACTTCAAAATGTCAGTGGTGCCAATGTTGAGAAACCTTGGGTTAAATAATTGAGACACAGTCAAAACATGGCCTTTTACTTAAACCCCACTTGATAAGATTATTGTATTATAAAATTCAATAGAATTCAAAGGTAAAGAATCCCATGAGCTACTTGCTATATCTTGTTACAAATGATTATTCATACTGTGTTGCTCCCTTCATGTATAATTCACTATACTATAACATAACACAATATGGATTTTTGAAATAATATTCATTATACCATTATCATACAGCAGGAATAAAATAATCTAAGTCTTTAAAGAACTTTTTTTGCAAATACAAGCTGAAAAAGAAAATCCCCCTTACAAATAACTTTCACACCCATTATGCTATAAACAATTGTTGCAATATCCTGCTTTTGAAAACCAAAATCCTTTCAAAGATAGTAATGCATAAAGTCCATCATTTTCACACATTTTTCTAACCAAAAATATCAAATTTATTTCCTTTTGTTTCTGATATAAGTAGAATACAGATAATTCCCTACTTCACTCATACCATAATAAACACTGAACATGCTCACGCCTGTAATCCTAGCTCTTGGGAGGCCGAGGCGGGCGGATTGCTCAAGGTCAGGAGTTCAAAGCCAGCCTGAGCAAGAGCGAGACCCCGTCTCTACTATAAATAGAAAGAAATTAATTGGCCAACTGATATATATATAAAAAATTAGCCGGGCATGGTGGCGCATGCCTGTAGTCCCAGCTACCCGGGAGGCTGAGGCAGAAGGATCACTCGAGCCCAGGAGTTTGAGGTTGCTGTGAGCTAGGCTGATGCCACGGCACTCACTCTAGCCTGGGCAACAAAGCGAGACTCTGTCTCAAAAAAATAAATAAATAAAAAAATAAACACTGAACATTTTTTCAAGCCGGCTATGCAGATGTCTATATCTATATCTGTAGCTATATGTTTTCAGATTTTAAAAGACAAAATTCATATGCAATGCCATGATTCCTAGCTATGCTGCATTTTTAATATGTGGTGGTAATTTTTTTTAGCCAACTTATATTGAATTATTTCCTTAGCTTTTAGTCAATGATATTCAGACAATTCAGCCCAGTCTAAACAGTGTCAATGAAGGTGGACAGAAGATAAAGAATGAAGCAGAGCCAGAGTTTGCTTCCAGACTTGAAACAGAACTCAGAGAACTTAATATTCAGTGGGATCACATGTGCCGACAGGTATGAATAGTCTCTTTCACTGTGGCTTGCCTCAATTTAATTAACTAAGATTTCTTAATGTCTCTTTTCACCATTGCTTTTATTTGAAGCTTTGTTTCTGACTATGCTGTTGCTTTAACATACTGTTAATTCAGACAAATTAATCTTTTTCTAGCATATAGAAATATTTTTATAGTTGATATTTTAAATAGTGCATATTCATCTTATTGAGGTCTTAAAATGACTTTCTTGAACACAACTGTCATACTGAAAAATCCTATTTGTAGGCATTATTTTCACTGAATGTCTTCGCTAATGCATAAATTTATAATGATAATTGAATTAGCAAAAATGCTTTACACATGCATACTTGATATAAAAATAAAATGAATGAGTAATATATGTGTATGGGCAGATACGGTAAATAGTTTTTACTTCCGATTGTTAAGCTTTCCAAGTTTGGCTTCTTCAATACATTTGTTTCAGTAAATGAATTAAGACTGGGAAAACATTAAGAATAGTTGAATGAACAAGGACCACAAAATCACTGTATACTCACATCTTATTGCCCTTGTTCTATAGCAGAATGTTTTATAGATATTATAAATTTAAAGACTAAATTATAGAAAATAAAATACCCATACAAGCAGTGTATATAAAACACTTCTTGTTCGAAAGGTAAAATTTTGATCTAAAGCAGTAATTCCTTTCAAATTCACTAATACATTAGTCCCCCATTATCTGTAGTTTTGCTTTCTAGGGTTTTAGTTACCTGAGATCAGACACAGTCTGAAAATAGGTAAGTACAGTACAATATTTTAAGAAAGATAAAAAGAGACTTTTATTACAGTATATTTATATTGTTATGATTACTCTATTATTATTTGTTAATCTCTTGCTGGGCCTAATTTATTAATATAAATTAAATTTTAGCATAGGTATATATGAATAGGAAAAAAATCTAGTATACATAGAGATAGGAACTATCTATGGTTTCAGGCATTCATTGGCAATCTTGGAGTGAACATATCTTCTACAGATAAGGGGGTACTACTGTACCTTTTTTTAAGTTAATTAGAGGTTTCCATTTAAGTGTTAGAGTCACTCTTTTGTTTTTTCTAAGTAACTTTTTAATGAAAAAAAGAAATAATGCTGAAAGGCAAAAACTAATTGTGAAAAAGAAAAATAATAGAAAAGTAAAAGTGAAGGCAAGTCACCCAGTTAATACAATCACTGACAAATGTTCAACAGTTTTATTAATTCACAGATGAGATAGTCCTGGGTCAGTTGGCTTACATTCTTCTCCTGGAATAAGTCGGAGCTAGAAGAGTACGTCAGGAAAAATTATTACTTAAAAAATAGATTATACAATTGATGACTTCCTGGAAGGCCAGTGTGAAAGGTCTTTGTTGAATGTTCTTAATGGACAAATAGAAATAACACCATTAATTTATTTAGAGCAAGGGGAAAACAGCAGCAATATACACACATACATACACACAGATACATATGTACACACACAGAGTCAACAATATTACTGAAACCTCAAGGTTTATACATTTTATGGAACTGTTATTATTAAAGTATATTTATTCTTAAAATGTGGCTTAAGAATTTATGGTTGCTATAATATCTGCTAAGAATTTGTTGTTTAAGAGAACTATTTTAAACACATTGGCCTGCTGCATAACAAAATATCTGTAGATCCCAGCCATGTTCTGATTTCATTTTCTAATCCTAAAATATTTTACATCTCTCTTCTTCTCCTTTGAATATCACCCTGCCCATGGTCCACCTTTGTTCTATTCCTGTTTAATCTGATATGTGGTCTATCAATTTTGTTTATCTTTTCAAAGAAACAACTTTCTGTTTCATGTTTCTTTGTTTTTATGTTTGTTTGTTTGTTTGTTTTGTTGTTTTTTAGTTTCCATTTCCTTTAGTTCTGCTCTGAGCTTGGTTATTTCTTTTCTTCTGTTGGCTTTGTTCTTCTTTTTCTAGTTCCTTGAGATGTGCAATTAGGTCAATAAATTTGTGATCTTTCTGTCTTTTTGATGAAGGCATTTAAGACTATGGATTTTCCAATTAGATTTGCATTGTTGTATTCCATAGATCTTGAAAGCTAGTGTCCCATTTGAAATTCTGTTCAAGGAATCTTTTGATTTCCATCTTAATTTGATCACTGGCCCAAGGATCATTCAGCAGGTTTTTTAATTGCCATGACTTTGTGTAGAATTGAATGTTTCTCTTGGAATGATTTCTGGTTTTATTCTACTATGGTATGAGAAGATTCATCGTATGATTTAAATTTTTTTGAATTTGCTGAAACTTGTTTTTTATTTTATTTCAATAAAATATGAGAGTACATGGTTGCATTTTATATCCTTGCCTCTCCCTAGCAAAGGTTAGAGGTATGCCCTTCCCTTCCACAATGCTCATCACATCCCTCAGATGTGGGTCTACCCCCCAACCTTGGTGAATACCACCGCCATTTGAGCACCATAGTGTTAATCAGTCAGTACCAATTTGATGGCAAGTACATGTGGAGCCCATTTTTCGGATCTTGTGTCATCTCACTTTGGATAATGGGCTTAAGCTTAATCCAGGATAGTATAAGCAGTGCTAGCTCACTGTCGTTTCTTAGAATTGAGTAATATTCCATTGTAAACATATACCAAATTTTAATAATCCATTTGCAAATTGACGGGCACTTGGGTTGTTTCCATGTCCTTGCAATAGTGAATTGTGCTGCCATAAACATTTGGGTGCAAATGTCTTTGCTCTTTTGGGCAGATGCCTAATAATGCTATTGCTGGAACGAATGATATTTCTATTTTTAGCTCTTTGAGGTATCTCCAAATTCTTTTCCACAGAGGTCGCACCAATTTGCAGTCCCATCAGCAGTGTAAGAGTGTTCGTGTCTTTCCACATCTTCACCAGCATTTGTTGTTTTGGGATTTTTTGTTACAAGCCAATCTCACTGGGGTTAGGTGATATGTCATTGTGGTTTTGATTTGCATTTCTCTAATGATTAGAGATGTTGAGCATTTTTTTTATATGTCTGCTTCCCATTATTCTGTCTTCTTGTTTTTGTGGTCTAAAATATAATCAATCTTGGAAAATGTCCCATGTGATAATACGAAGAATATATATTCAGTAGTTTTTGGGTAGAATGTCCTGTAAATGTCTGTTAGGTCCATTTGTTCTAAAGTCTCACTTAAATCCATCATTTCCTCATTCAATTTCTACTTTGATGACCTGTCCAGTTCTGTTAGTGGGATATTAAAGTCCCTGGCAATAAAAATGCTACTGTTTATTTCTTTGTTAAGTTCTTGCAGAATTTGCTTTATAAATCTCAACTCTCCTCTGTTAGGTGTGTATATATTTAGGATTATTATGTATTATTATTGAATTGCTCCCATTACCTTTATATAATGACCATCTTTGTCTTATTTTCCCATTGTTGATTTAAAGTCTATTTTATTTGTTATGAGAATGATATACCTACTCACATTTGGTTTCCATTTTCATAGAATATTTTTTTTCTATCTCTTTGCCTTGAGTCTGTGTGTGTCCTTATGGGTTAGATGCATTTCCTGGAGACATAAAATACTTTGGTTGTATTTTTTTCATCCATTCAGCCAGTCTAAGTCTTTCAAGTGGTACTTTCAGACCATTTACATTGAGTGTTGATATGTAGGATGCTATTATGTTCATCATGTTGGATAATACTTTATTATTTTGTTCTTCCTCTTGTGCTACTTCTTTTATAAGAACAGTGAGCTTTAAATTTGGGGTGTTGTTACACTGGTGGCTATGATTGCATTGTTACATATATAATGTACCTCTTAGTATTTCCTGTATGACAGATCTAGTAGGTACAAATTCCCTTAGTGTTTGCTTGTCTGGAAAAGCCTTTATTTCTCTATCATTTAGGAAACTTAGTTTTTTAGGATAAATAATTCATGTCAGTTGTTCTGTTTAAGAAGATAACAGTGGGGCTCCAATCCCTTCTGGCTTATAAAGTCTCTGCTGAGAAGTCTGCCTGTAGCCTGATGGGTTTTCCTTTGTAGGTTAGTTTTTATTTATTTATTTATTTATTTGCAACTTGTACAATTTTCTCCTTTATTTTGACTTTGGCCATGTTGATGATTATGTGTCTTGGAGATGTGCTGTTTGCTATGAATCTTCCTGGTATTCATTTACCATCTTGTATTGGATATCTGAATCTCTGACAATTCCAGCAAAGTTCCTCAGTAATTCCCTAGAGTAGGTTTTTCTGTGTTTTTTGATTTTTCTTCTTCTCCCTCCAGCATACTTCATATGTATAATTCATATATTGGCTCATCACACATAGTGCCATATTTCTCTGAGTGATTGTTCATTCTTTTTACTTTTTCCTATGTCTCTGACTGAGTAGGTTGGTTCTAAAGCCTTATCTTTAAGCTCTGAGATTCTTCTGTTTGTCCTAGTCTGTTGTTTAAGATTTATGCTATATTTTATAATTTCCTGAATGACTCTTTCATTTCTTTAAGTTCTGTTATATCCTTCCTTATGTTGTTTATCTCTTTATTGAGTTTTTCATATGTTTTATTCCCACCCTGAAATGTTTTCTTTTTTCTTTATTTTGATTTTCAACTTTCTCTTAAATTCCATTCATCTTGTTTATCATCCGTATTCTGAATTCCATTTCCCATATTCAACAGTTTCCTTTTGGTTGGAGTCCATTGCTATGGATATATTGTGATCTTTTGGGGGATGGCAAAGTAGCTTTTTTTTTTTTTTCATGTTGCCAGAATTATTTTGCTGGTTACTTCTTATCCAAAATATCTTTTCTTAACTCAGGGATGATAGGTTTGTGGTGCACCTGTTTTCCTTTGCTTAGAACTCTCCTACTTAGTGATGAGGAGAAATCCCGAGATAGTGCTTTTGTGTCCTACTCTGAAACACTTACCCAGTGGGAGATGGATGTATGCACTGAGAACCTGTAACACACCTGTTCTTCCGCACCATCCTGTTTCCTT